TTTGAACTTTTCTGCCTTTATATTATTATTGTTGCATTTTAAACATTTTTTCTTGGTGAATTTTAAGTAATAGGTTCGTAATCATTATTGAAGTTATCATACGCAAATTATAACAAGATTTCTTGGCCAATCCTCCCGTGTGGGTATGGGCCAGACTTGGCAAGGCTACAAATGAACCAACACAATCAAACTGGCTTTTGATGATGAAAGTTTGCTGTCTACGACACGCGGCAAGAAAGAGATGCTTGATGAAGTGAACGGAGGAGAGGTCGGCCTGAAAGCGGGTTCGTACACACGGCAAGACTAGGGCATGACAGCTCTGCTGTAGCAATGAGGTGTCGTTACCAATCTCGTGTTGCATATGTATAAAAATCTACAGAGTTTTTATCTTTAAGGGTTTAAGGGTCTTATATCTTTAAGGGTTTAAGGGTCTTATATCTTTAAGGGTTTAAGGGTCTTATAGGCGCACATTGTTTACAACAATGTGCGCCTATAAGATAAAAAACACCCTTAGTTCTAGACCATGAAGCTCTTCGTCGAGAAAGCAAACCTGCAGGCATATATCGAAGCCGGAAGAGGGCGCGAAAAATAGACATAATCTTTACAGCAGATCTGAATATTCCGAAGCTGACAAGAGAGAGATTATATGGTACGAAGAAAGGCCTGCAGGTTAACCGGAATGCAAGTATCTGGTTTGCTACCTTTCCCTGGGGAAGGGGGAATGGGAGGCAGAAAAGTAAGCAAGAGGGAATAAGAGAAATGGAGGGGAGGAAGCAAAAACACACACAGACACACACTCTCTCACACACTCTCTCACACACACACTCTCTCACACACACACTCTCTCACACACACAAGCACACACACTGTAATGTCACAATCATTCGACGAGGCGGATTGCTCGCAGAAATTTCAATGCTAAAGTGTCAGTGCTATACAAGAGATGAAGAAAATTGCCTTTCGCACAGTTCCTTGTGGTTCCCATAAAGGGACAAGTCAAGAAACTTATGGGTTGGGCACAAATTTTGAATAAGAAAACATTGCATACGAAGCTTTGGATAAAGGCTAAGTGTTCGGTGTTCTGCAGGTGAGAACGCTCGGAAATCGATATATACGTGCAGACACAAGACGTGGCCAGTATTTGAAATATTTTCATGGCTGGTATCATAGCAATGTATATCATGTTGTGACCTCTTTTGTGACTCGTCAACATTACTCTATGGAAGTTCTCCCCTCTTCACATTTTTTGCTGTAGCAGCACGATTCTTTGCGCCACTGCATGCAAATATGCATGGGTCATCTCTGTTTACAACAGTATGTTTTAGATGCTTACACTAATGTTGTATTGCTATGGAGAAGCCATTTTCCTCTAGTTTAATAAAATTTCCTGCAACCACTCTTTTTCTCCTTCTCAACATTTTTTTATCTACTATAAACCCTGTGTATCTTTCAAAACTGTGAAAACCCACTTCAATAGACATATTTATACAGAAGCTGTACATGTCTCAAGTTCTATGTATTTCAGTACCAGTGTGTCAAAAATAAAATGCTGAGCAAAGGCCGACCAAACAACAAACAGTGCAATGCCAGGACAAACTTCGGTACAGCTTAATCATGCTTGAAGCACTTCGCTCATGCAACTACTCCACCAACTACCAATAATAATAATAATAATAACAATATTAATAATAATAATAATAATAAATCAGTCATTTACTTAACGTGCCCTGGAACAACCATAAGGCCTTAGTGCCGGCGTACGCAAAAATTAAACAATAGATATAAATATTAAAAACTATAAATAACGATAAAACAATACAAATATTACAATGCAGGAAAACTTCAGAATATGAAATAAACAGTGAAAATACGCAGAAAAAAATCACCGCAAAATGGGGAGATTATAAAGACAAGAAAAAATTCATAGACAGGAAGTGAAAAATAAACAAGAATATTTATGCAGAAATATTCTTGAAAGATGGAAAGTAAAATATCTGGACCGAAAGACGGAAATTTGTATGTTGTGAAAAACAATGTTAAAACAGTGCCGAGCTGATATAACAACAATGGCAGTGGACTGTGAAATACATCAAGATTATGAAAGTTAACTTTATATAGACTTTGTATTCTGTGTGAAGTGATTGATTTGATTTGATTGATATCTGGCGTTGAACATCCCAAAACCACCATATGATTATGAGAGACGCCGTAGTGGAGGGCTACGAAAATTTTGACCACCTGGGGTTCTCTAACGTGCACCCAAATCTGAGCACATGGGCCTACAACATTTCTGCCTCCATCGGAAATGCAGCCACTGCAGCAGGGATTTGATCCCGCGACCTGCGGGTCAGCAGCCGAGTACCTTAGCCACTAGACCACTACGGCGGGGCTTCTGTGTAAAGTGTTGAAAGGAGTTGGCAGGTACATGAAATACTCGATTCTGTCTGGTTAACTTACGGGGAATCCGGAAGTTTACACAACTAAGAAGTAACGGGCAGGATAGCCTACTTTGAACGAGTTTGTAAAGAAATAATAGGTCTGCGCGATTTCGTCGGCATTGAAGTTATCGCAATGATAATAAGCTGTCAGTGTTAGAACGAGATAATAATAATAATAATAATAATAATAATAATAATAATAATAATAATAATAATAATAATAATAATAATAATAATAATAATAATAATAATAATAATAATAATAATTATTATTATAATGCAATACTTCAACTAAACAATGCTCCATAAGGCTGATAATGCGTGCCTTATACCCTGCGGCCATCGTTCCAGTCTTCCCCAGTGCAGGGTAGCATACCGGATCTTAGTACCTGGTTAACCTCCATGCCTTCCTTTTTATTACGATAGCAGTTATATGGACACTCTAGGCTGGATTTCGCCACCGGCGTCGGCGTTGATGTCATGCACTGTATATGTATACGTATCTATATATATAAAAACGCAAGAGAGAAAGAAAAATCCAGAAAAAAGACAGCGCGTGGAATTGAACGTGGGACCTCCACGTCGTGAGTGCAAAGCGTTAGCCACTGAGCCACCGAGAGGTACCTCCTTGAACGTTCAAACGGCAAGCTGTTTATACCTACCACTTACCACTGCTGGCGGTCATCTCGGGGGTGGGGGAACTATCGTGTTTTCAGCAATACCAGCAAGCTGGCGCAGCGAGCGTGTGGCGGCTCTCATCTCTCAGGAGTACTTTGGCCCGTGGAGATGAGGGGACTGCATGATTTTGGCGCGCCCTTATGTCCCGGTGAGGAGAAGGGGAGGATTGTACGTCTTGGCTGGCCTTGGGCTTGCACTGGAACGATTCTGTTGTAGTAACGGGGCGCACAAAGGTGGCTAAATATTGTTGCGGCACAAATCGTGACGCCAGCTGTTTGTTTCCGTGACGTTAGTATAAAAAAAGCTCTCGCTTGGTCAATATACAGGCGATATGTGTTGTGAATGGTCGCGCATACACTTCTTTGCCACACTGTCGTATGCCCGTTCTTCCTTGTCTCGCACAATTATCGTATGTAATAAATTGATTTCCCTTTGTTTTCACTATACAAGCAGAGAAAGCAACATGCAGTCGAAAAGCGCTAAGTTATGACTGACTCAACGCCTATAGTGCTGAGATTCCACGTGTTTTCTGAAGGAATAAATGGTAAGGAGGATATATCACTTGTAACAAGGGAATCGAAGATGATAAAAAAGTCACTCTCCCTCCTTTGAGCTCGGTGTAATTTAAGAGCCCTTTAAGGTAAAATAGGCCTGTGTCTTAACCTGCAGTGGGCCGCTCCCACGTCTGGATCAAAAGACAAAGCCTTTCGTCCTCTTCGTGGGCCCATTGGACTGCTCATAGCCATTTATCTAATGTCTGACTGCATAGAGGTGAAGCCGTAACGTTGTACGAAAGCTTCAGCCCCTGCACATGTTCGAGTATACTAACAAGCTGAGTAAAGCCGAAATGAATGCATTGCACCGGTGGGTGACCACAAAACAAAAACTTAAGCTGGGAAGCAGACGCTTGGGCAGGATGTACCTTGTTATGTCGTGGCTCACAATTGTGCCAGCGTTGCTCGAATGTCGGGCCAGTTGCGTGTTCGTAAGAGTATTCAGTTTTAAATTTAGAGCTCAACCAATCCTGACAATTTTTTAGCTTATTTGTGAACGCACAAGTTCTAACCTACGTAAGAAATCTTATGATATAAAATAAATGTCGTGGCTGCTTCAACTCATATTGAATTAGCGAGAACTCAAAAATATCGTAAAATGTGTAATTATTGACTCGAAAACTCACGCAAGAAATTTCTTCTCAATTGATCGCTGGAAGGTAAACATTGTGTCTTGGGATTCTGTTCTTTGCTTTGTCTAACACTGCCTTGTTCCTAGTCTGCTAAGCTTACACCCTCTCGACACGAGACTAATTGTTTGATAGATATAGCGAATGTCGTTTTCGTTCATTAGGACATTGATGCTAGAAACTTGGAAAGGAGAAAAAAAATGTCACTCACATAGGAAGGAAGGAGGCAACAAAAGAGAGGAAACGTAGGTGGACTAGCCAGTTCAAGCGCTCCATCCTAATCAGCATTGTAATAACGCCCCATTATGAAGCGTTTCACCTTCAATCAGCCACATCAGTACCCGAACACTGATTGCAGAGCCACCATCACGCACAATAGAGTCCCGATCTTCACCGACACCCGACTCCAGCTTTCGAAAAGCGCTACACGATCTTCTATTGAAGATTTTCACTGGTCTCCATTCTATGGAGTAGAAAAAAGAGTTTGAATTGCAGATTGTTGGAGAATACGTGAATACCTCTGTGCTTCGCCGCGGGAAAATCGTTGAATTCGACTGAACAACGGTATAAATTAACATATATGCGCTAAAGCCAGAGCAAAAAGTTTTGTTTTTAAGTTATTGCTTCTGATTGCCGAAGATGGCAGCATACAAAAGCGCCTAGAGAATGCGATCTCGATATAATAGATTCAAATAACACAGTGTTCATGTGCACGCAAACCTGTTTTTATATATCGGTATAAAAAGCATAAGGTGCTAAAAATCTTGCCTGACCCAGTTGTGCAGCGTAAGCACAATGGAGTCGCTCAGCCACGCCGCTCTACTGATCAGCTTTTTAGGTAAGGTTTCAGGTACCTTTCAGTTACTATAAAGCTGGGTTAGCTATGCTAGAAATGAGGCATGCCTACAATAGCATAATAATTACTAACCTATGAAATGTCATCTGCGCATGATTCAAACTAATGACAAAAATATGGGGCTCTTCATGCAGTACTGCAGCAATGAAGACTAGAAACAAATTTTTTTGTATATCATATCTGAAAGTATATCAGCCAACTGTGCTTTGTTACATTAAGGTGCCGCAATTAGGTTAGCGCAAAATAGTGAAACAAATGAGCAACTATTTTAGTTAGGGCTCCCACTTTGGGGCACTTATTGCAAGGACTAGTAGTACAATTATCTCATACATACTGCTGGGACGAATATTACTAACCACTACTGCTGCCCGAGCTTACTCTTAAACAACATGTAACAAATGGAGGTATCGTGAATGCATCACCGATCGTTATGCCTAATCAGCACCCTTATCTTTTTTACAGCGTTTGCTGATGTTGCGTTCGGTCAAGAAAGCCGTAAGTCATACTCACAAACCCTTATTTTTGCATTATGCGTGATAAAATGTTTGCTGCGCTAATTCTTTTATTAAATTGACAATGAGAAACTTCGCCGTGCACGCTAAAATTTATCAATATGGAAAACCTGCCTTCCACGTCAGCGCTACAATACAGCGCATACATAGTGTGTGTGAAGCAAAAATTTGCGTCTTCAAGGTATCTTATTTCCTGAAATGAATATAACTAATCAGCTTAAATTTAAAGCCACCGAATTACGTTGAAACTGACCCTATTTTACTGTAGGCGTTGATTTGCTGTAACCAACTCTCTTCTGCCAGCCTGTACAGTTGATTGAGGACGTCAACGTTATTAAATTAATCTCTCGTCTAAGCATTTGCTTTCGCCTGTCCACTATTTTGCGTCGCGTAAAATGACTGTAACTATGATGTTCACGCGTATGAGTTCGTGCTGAGCACAATCTTTAAGGTCGTGAACCATTGATATTACCTCTAAATAAGCAGATTTTTTTTCTGTTACTGCTATTGATATTACTTGCCATGTCTTCATCCTAAAAAAAACTGTGCTACCATACACGTTGAAATACGTGAGCCGGACGACAGCGTAGAAATTCTCATACTTCAAAATACCGCTCGCTTTTTGCAGTGACTCCTCTGAACAATAAACTTCTTGCTCGACATAAGTGCGTCTCATACATTAGAATGCATGGTTAAGAGAAGAAATAGTGACTATATTTCAACCATACGCACGAAGGTAGCTGCTCAGAGGACAAAAGGGTAGGGGGTATTGTAGGATGACAGAGGAAGGGGGATAGTATGAAAAGAGTGAATAATCTAACTTTGCTCCCAGAGACGCTGAGATATGAGATAACGTTGTCTTCGATAGCTACACGAACATCTGCTCGCTGTACGTCACCTATATTTGAACACAGAAGAGCCTCGGGAAATAATTTTTTAAATCATGGGATGCGAACTCAGGTTGGCTATATTTCGGTTGGTATGTACTATATATTTTTTGCGGCATCCTTTCTCGTACTGGTGTTGCCAATGTAGGGTTTACTATTAGGTAACCCTAGCACCAACCAATAATAATATCGAGCAGAACTTTGATTTGGGCAAGCTCGTACATTTTCAGCTGTATGTCTACTCGTATGTGTGCTGTGTTTGTGTGCTCTCGTCCTTCTTTCTCTGTTTTTTTTTTTTGGCTAACAATAATATTAGCTGAAAAATGAAGCCGAGGGAGTGTATACACGTCGTCGGGTTTCTACACGCTAAATCTTCGTCCAGTTTTTTTTATATTCTACATCCGTCGAACATGGCTGCCGTACGTGGCTCTCAAACGCACGTTATAGCGCTCAGCAACATAACAACCCTGGCACTGAGCACATGTTGCCTCTACAAGTCCACGAATCTACAATAGAATCTAATTCACATAATTTCGTCACCTCGCTCTAACCGCGGAATGGTGCGCTTACTGAGACAAAAAGTTCTACACCTTGTCCGTACTGCCCGTGTAGGTAGTCGGTTGATTTGTTTATAAAGTTTAAACTGCAAAATCAAACCATGCTGTAAGAGTTGACATACTGACATGTTCCGGAAAATTTTGGAGACGTGGGTATACTTAACGTGCAGACATTACGCAGTACATGAGCTCAATTAGCATCTCGCCTCCATTCAGTTGCGACCGCAAGGCCAATATCGAGACCCGTCTTTTAAGCCGCTAGCTTATCACTTTAACGAATGAGCCTCCACATTGCTCATATAATAAATGCATAAAAAAAATGGAAAACTGTAGTTTAATTCTAGCGTTTATGTTCTCTTGTGGAGATATGCTTACTTAGAAATCGTGCGCTAAAGGCGGCTTCACTACTGCGAAAAGTGAGAAAGTGTGGCGCATGGGTATCCAGTGATTCCCGTTGCACTATTGTTATTTTCTGTCTAAGAATGATCTCTCGCAGAAGTTCTTAACATTGGCACCGAAGAAGCCCCGGAGGGATTAGCCCTAACACGTTTGAAGAGGTGGTGGCGCCCTCTCTGACGAGGTGCAGGTGTTACATGCATATTTCCAAACCTCTTTACCGATTTTAGAATAATTATAGTGATCATTCATTAATTATTGGTTCCACTTGAAATGTTAAGGGTCTTGTAAGTTTATTTTATCCAGATTTCGAGCTGGGATAGCGTTTGTTTTAGGCCTGTATTGGTTACTTTATTGTGAATGTGATCACGCCAAATTAAACTAATAGATCGATGACCCGTAAAGTTCTAGGCACCTCAAATCATGTTTTCTTTCTGTAAAACAACAAACACATGTCTTTATGAACTAGCAATTGGCTGACCTAACTATTATCGAGCATCACAATTAATATACATGGCACTAATGCTTTGATACGCCATTTCATAAGCAAATACGCGTGGCCTTGCGGCAAAATTTAATGCCCATTAGCGGCGACGAACCATTCTTTGTTTAAAGGCAGAGTTTCTTCACATCTTCGTGAAGTAACAAATGACCTTGTGCCACAGAAACTCTTAAGTAATCGCTTGTAAATTTTAGGGGGAAAATGATTTCAAACATATAGTACTAAGTAGGAACTCCTTGGATTATCTCCTATGCAGTGGCTCATTAACTACCATACATAAATGCAAGCTTTTGGTGAAAGTGAAAATTAGCAAGTTGAAACGTGTTGTAGATTTTGCTGAAACTCTGTGGGAGTATATAAAAATTTGAAACAGGCAGGACGAGTGCTCCCTAACTTAGGTTAATTCAGAAAAAGAACACGTGGAAGGTCAAAGGTTTTGTTCGCGCACGTGCATTTGCAAGCTATCCGGTAAATCAGTGGGCATTAGCCTCCCTTTATCGACTGAAGGCAAGTTAAAACGCGCTCGATAAAAAGGTCTGTTAAAAAATATTGCTGTTTATACACAAAATTGATTTGATCTTCAAAAAATCAAGAATATTAATGCACCGTAGAAGTGTACACACAGAAATTCATTAAAATATGCAAGAAACAATTACGAATTCTGCGTGTAACTGTTTGGCGAATGCTGACATTTCTTTACACCACGTGTCTTCACAGATAAGAATAAAAGTCATGTGCCTAATTTTCATCAGTTGTGGCACGCGACGTGAACATTTTGTCGCGTACGTCATCAGTCCCTTCGCCCCTCACTCGAGTGGCCCATATCCTTGAACCACAGGCTACGGTATCTTGGTACGCGCCACATCTACCAATAAGAAAAACGGGCCTCGACAGCATTCACCATGATTGCAAAGAGTAAATGTCTGCAACCTAGTAGGAAACGAACCCAAGCAATCTGCATTGAGTAAAGTATTTTACCACAGAGACGGGCCAGGTCTTGAGACTGCTTTGCCATATACTGGCGTAATGCTCGTGCAACGTAAGTTGAGGTGGCAATGCTGGCTATCTAATTTAATAGCAAAGCAATACAAATTACTTAAATACTCCTTTGACAAAAGCGTCATGTCGGTTCCCGTGTAGCTGCAGTGTTGGCTCCGCTTTTATAGTACCTAAATAAACCTTACACTGGCATTCCTATGATTCAGCAAGCTATATTCAAGCGTTGCTCAACCACGGGGAATTGGCTAACGAAAGTTGTGTCATACTTACATCGTCGCACCATAACGTGTCCTTTGTTTTGATCTTATTGGCGTTTGTAATGTAATGCGAGGGCGGATGTTATGACGTTACCCTCTAAATACCTGCGTAGTCCACATTTCTGATAATACCATAATGTATTCATGACTATAAGCCTTGGAGAAACACGTCGATTCACTTCGTAACGCTTGGCTTAATCGCAAAAAATACAGCATTGACCTAACTCATCTACTGCTTTGCATGGAACTTGCTCTTACAAGGCGTGTAATCAGCCGAATGTGTTATTTTTATTTATTTTCCCCACATTGCACTCGTGAACTTAAACAATTCGTTAGATATAAGTGACAGCGTATGACACACATAAACAACAAGCGAAAGCTACTGAAATGCTAAGCGCCTGGTCCGTCTTCGTGTCTTGACTTATTGTTACTTTCTCCTGCCCGCGTGCTTTCATCTTTGCCAACCACCAATGATGCTTGAAGCATGTGGCCCTAGCCATAGAAATTTCGACATTTCGTATTTTTAATATATAATAAAAAGAATATTTTAAATATGCATGTAGTTTCTGGTGAAGTCTTCTACCGTTTGATTCTCTCTTTCTGTGTTGTACTGTCCGCGTCCTTCTCTGTGGCGTGGAAGCTCCTCGTTCTGTCATATTCGTCTTTCATATTCATATGATGCTTTTCAGACATGATATTTATGACCGCACATGATATTTATTAGTATTCTTATATCACTTTTGTGTTTTTTTCTCTTTAAATTCAGCGCAATACAACATTACTCTTTTTGCGCAGTCTTTTACTAACACTAAAATATTTCTATTCCAGAGCAGCTTAGCTACTTGCTAAGCGGTCGACGCGGCTTTGGTGATGAAAGTGGACTTGAAGTTGGACCTCGCCGATACGTCTTCGAAGGTGGAAACGCGCTTAGTGCTGCCAGTGACGTCAGTTTTCCATACGGCACAGCTCGCCTTGCTATTGTGCCAGGCGGATTTGAAAGAGAATATGGAGGCCGAGTGGAGGACGTTGAAAACCTTGGTAACAGCGACACTATTCCATACGGACGGCCCAAGCTTTCTGGTCGCAAAACTATTGTTATTTTGATTCGCCGACGACGTCCATGGTCGCAAGGCGGCAGTGAATTAGAAGATGGCGGAGGAAGATGGGGAAGGCCGGACTACGATTATCCTTCAGATGATCAGACCGCAAGCGAGAGGCGAAGAGCAAGGCGTGCCCTTCTTCGTATAGTTCTAAGCAAATTACTGCTCGCAGCGGCTAGGCGGAGCTTGGCGAGAGATGGAAGTGACGAGGACGAAGGCCGTGGTTCTCGTTCCGAGCAACCATGGGGTCACAGTGAACGAGGTTGGATATCAGGATGGCGCTTTGGCGAAGGAAGTGACTTTGGCTCCGCAGATTCATATGATGGCCGTTCAAGCCGCTGGACACGAGGAGGCCTTGGTGGTGAAGGTGGTCGCGTGTTGCTGAGAATCATGAGACCAAACAAAGGAGAGAGTGGTGGCATCATCCTGTTAGGTAGTGGACGGGGTCCTCAAAGTGGCGCAAGGTGGTCCCCAAGCGAAAATATTGAAGGGACCTCGGGCAGTATTCCCGCAGGCAGCAGCGAAGAAAGTGCACCTATAAGCGACACCGCAAGTAGTAATACCGGTTACGGCATTGTGAGAAATATGGGAAGCATCATTCTTGGGGCACAAGGACATCCGTTTGCCGCACTGCCTAGCTTGCTTCGTGGAAGACTAGCTGGCTCAAGAGGCTTTGGGGGTTCAAGCGAGAGTGTCACAGCTCAACCATCGACATGGCTGGGATCTAACAGCTTCCAGCAGCTGCCGAATTCAGCTGGACATGACAATGAAGACATCTCATATGGTGGCATGGGGAGAAACTACTATCCAGTGTATGGTCCCCGTCTATTCTATAGGTTTCCACAATATATTACACCAAGTGGCCAGGCCAGCAGCCCCAGTGGAAACTTCGATGGCAGTTTTGGGGGTTCACCTGTTACGGCACTCAGCACGCCCATCAATAGCAGGTACAACTCAGCATTAGAGGAAATGCCTGGCGTAAATCCGATGAACCCAAGCGAATTGAATGTACCATCTAGCGTCAGTAATGCTGCTGATGGAAGCTCAAATATTGCGAACGCTCCATTGTCACAAAAAAGCTAAAATCAAGCTATCTTTTGTCGAGCTTACATAAAGTCCTCAAACACACTTTGAATACAATGCTGTTGCTGTTTCATCAGTCCTCCAAAATTGAACGTGACCCCTGCTGTTACATGTTGTTTTAAAATTATCTTGGAAAGCCTTGGTTGAAAATGTAAAATGGGTGTGCTTTGTTGTTATTCGTATGAATTGTTTGTTTATATTAACTATATTTTTCTGCAAGTTGGATATAAAGTAAACCATCAGTCATTTTCCCGCTTTGCTTTATCTTTGGAAACTGATATAGAAACCTTTCATGCTGTTTTTCTAAGTACTAAAGTTTTTCATAATTCTGCCGTTATCATAATCTCTTATCGTTGTCGTCATGATGCTGTCCTGTGAACTCTGACTCATACGCTCATGACTTCCTGGCTTAGACAGGAACGTTTGTGCCGTAGGAAACAAGTTTAGCGTAAAAAAGTGAGCGTGTTCAGAACATGTGAGTGCGTTGTACTGAGCGTGTGCGCACACGCAGCAATCACGCATCAACGCCAGCCTGAACAATTCCACTGACGGCTGGAGACGGCTCTTTAAAATACCGGCTACTGCGTCCTTACAATGTGACAATAGATTGCGTCAGTATTAAACATTGGTTTCTATAAATGACTGTAACCGTGCAGGAGGTAGCCTCGCGTTATGGAGCATGGGGCCCCACGATTTTCGGCATGAAGACATGCACCAAAATTTGTAAATATTGTACGCACCAACGGTTTTGTAAAGATTGTTCTAACTGTTATTGTGAAAACCACCAGTTGCGAAAACAGCTAGATTAAGTTGCATCGGAGATTTTATGCTGTTTTTTATGTTCATTTTGCCGCTAATAAGGCATTCCCCCTCTACAGATGATTTTGCGGCGTGACCGTATGGCCGTATGAGTGAAGCTCGCTTTAACAAAACCCAAGCACGCCGTTGGTGCGAATGTTAGGATGACGCTAATCCACGCTTTTAACGCTGTCTAAGGTTCCACTGAGCCTGCGCAAAGTTGCTTAGATGCACCGTTGAAATCGTTGCACTGGCAATCCACGGAGCATATTCACCTTAAGCATCGTCAGCACGATACATTTCTCCTCTTCCGCACTTTTGTCGTATTCAGTGGCAGGAAAGCCACAGGGGAAGTCTATTATTTTTCTAGCTGGCTGTAAGGAAGGTGTGTTTGTGTGGGAACCATTGTACGGTTGCTATCCTCATCTGCTGCAGTCTCTTAGAAAGTACGGGTGGTGCAGCCATTAGGGACTGTTGAGGAGTACTGGTTCACTTTAGTATGTACGTAGAAGCTCTACTTGACAGGTAGGCATGATTCCTTTCTTGAAAACTCACTGGAGGCAGTGGACGTGTTTCGGGGCCTAAAGCAGGAGCATGGGTATTTTTGCCACCTCAGAAGGCACGGGCGCTGCGGCCGCTGACACCGGAATATGTGTCCAGACTCTGACGTGACCAGCTTCTGGCACGTGACCAGCCTCTGGCACGTCTCCGGCGTGCCAGACGCTGGCCACGTCAGAGTCGCGTCCGCCAGAGACGTGCTCCTTTCACTCGCCACGCTGCTCTACTGGTCATGGTGCTCCACGGATGCATTTTGATGCAAGCGATATGCTAGAGGCCGTATATACGTAAACTATGGTTCATGTTAATAAACACCAGGTAGTCAAAATTTTCGGAGCACTCTACTGTGGCATCCCTCATAATCGTATGGCGATGTCGGTGCATTAAACAACAAATATTGTTACCCGTTCCTTACGGGACGAGCGCGTTGAGCGGCGTCGTGGTGCCTTCCTGTACACGTCGCACTTGTTGACGGTAGCAGTTGGCGTATATTTTTCTTTCGTGTGAAGCAATTTCTCGTCTCATTTAACGAAGAGCTTGACAGCGTGTGAGCCATGAGGCCTGGAGCAAGTTTTTTTGTGCATCGTCAGCAATAACCAAGACAATAGCAGCGTGGGACAAACTGAGACAAGCAAAAACCATATAGAAAAGGGAATTTGCAAAAATCTACATTACTTACCGCGTATTGAGACTGTGATCGCACGCATGGTCGAAACGACAAAGACAAATATGAAGAGTGCAAGAGTGTGCAAAAGCTAAATTTAAGCGAATAAAATAAGAGAAGAGCAAAAAATGAAACGTCGGTTATTATGAGGATGACTTCGTGCGAAATGGGGATTCGCTTATGCACAGTTGTAGAGCAACAAAACAAACCAAAAAGTGATATCACAAAATCAATCAAAGTGAATCATGGCAAGCGGACGAACCTTCGGCGGATCATTAACACCGTGCATTACTCACTCGACATGGAAAGACGTGATGTGTGCAAAAGCTGTTTATTAATCACAATGCAGATATGGTGCTGAGATGTGGGTGACATTTTCCTTTCATTATGACCGCCTTATGGTCCGTGAAATGTAAAGTTAAGAGTTTTTGTGTGGGGTTCAACCTGCAGCTCGACAGGATGACGTTCCCATGCCGCTGCAGCTTCGCGAGCCGTCAGCCCCGAGTCGGCTTGGCGGCGCTGCCGTTTCGCTGCAGCTCCGCGAGCCCACAAGTCTGGATCCGCTTGTCTGCGCTGCCATGCTGGAGTTGCCCTGCGAGCCCTAAACTCTGGACTGCGTTACCACGCAATTGCGCTGCGAGCCGTCGTGTTATTCATGATAAAGTTCAGTCCATGGCCATGAGAGAGAGAGCCACGAGAGAGCGCGTTTTCTAGCTGTTTGGACGCCGCAGCTAGAGTGACCTAGAATACCGCAGCGAAAGAAACACAGTGCCACGAGCGCATCCGAGATTATCGTTCTCCTCTTCTACCGTCGACCAGTGCCCTCGGCCGGTGTTGCCAGCTAGGATAACAGACATCGCAGGGACAAAGCGCAACCCTAAGGTGCTTCGCCCCTAAAAAAAGGAAGTGTTTCTATTACAAGCTAAGTTGAAAGTGCACTTTCTTTTATGTCCAGTATTAAGCATGAAACGCTTTTACAACCCCTTGTCTGTGGCCATCAGGTATCCTTTAGCCAAAAGCCAGCGCCCTTATCGGCGCATGCATGTACTGAAAGAAGATGTGGGCATCGTCGCGAGAATAGATTGTGAGAATTTGGGTTCTCAGATAGAAGTAAAAAACGCAATCTCAGATGATTCAGTACATATACAATGCCACATTACATACGCTTGTTACGGTCAGAAGAAATTAGCGAAATATGGCGTTCATGTTCCCTTCAGTGTATGTTTTCACCATCACTGAAGTCTGAACGACCTACACACCCACGAACGTATAGCCATAAAGGTTGCAGCTCTTGCCGCCTTTTTCGCATGAACCAATCACCGCAACATCTTTGTTGTGCCTTCTTTACCGCAAGAAATATTCGTAGCACATAACACCGACACCTAACTGATGATTAACCACCAGTCAAGAAATTATTGCGTGTAACTCATAGTGGTTCACCACCACTAAAGGAATGACTGCGTGGAAGTCAATCGCTGCATTCCGAGGTCAAAATAACTGATAACGATTTTTTGTGATTGTATAATTACCAAATTACCAATGTTCTCAATTTGGGGCTTAACTATGGCACACGTGTTAGCTGTTCCATCATTTCGTCATTATAGTCGTTGGATTATGCCTATTGCTCAAGTCTTTCAGCCTACAGCAGGCCATATAAGACCACCAAACTTTGTTCGCAAGGGCCTAGCGCATGAGCGATTACGCTACTCTAAGGCCTGTGCTTTCTTTCTTGTGACTTTCTTGAAGGCTACGCCAGGCCACGTGAAAGAAAATGTCTTGTACGTGCACGCCACAAGCAGATTTATTAGCTCATAGTCATCCAGCTGTCATTTAACTAAAACATAGTTATTTGTATGCGCTCCTTTCTGTAAAATCTCAAAAAAAAGGCAATTACAATTTTCAATAATCCAAAAACAACGCTTGTACAAAAATATGCAGATCCCACGCATTGTGGGAATTGGCGTAATGTGAAACATCCACCAGCAAGCAAATGAAGCTGTACGTAACATGCATGGCATGATTTAAAAATAAAGGTCTCTCATCTATGTTCGTCATACAGTCACATCCGGCAATACCAATTTTGGCGTATACATTAAGCTAACGAAGTTGTTGTAACTGTGCCGTGGTCGTGGCACGCAAGTCATGCTGTAAATGGCACGTCATAATTTTTATATTGCCACTTGTCATTGAAGTCTTCTATGCGGCCACGTTAGCAACACCGAACTTGTATATCAAGCCAGCGAAACTTCAGCGAGTACAACATAAGCCTGTCATGCAATTCATGGTCTACATGAATTCTATGACTTCGATTATACGACCTGCCATTTATGTTTGTCGTACACACACGTCACACAATAACAAACTTGTGTGTATTAAGCTAGCGAAATGGCCGCGAGTATGCCATTGGCGTGGCAGGCAAGTCATGTTGCACCTTACATGTCATAATTTTCCTTATACCACTTGCCATTTATGCTCATCATACAGAGACGTCACGCAATATCGAATTGGCCCCGCCACTGTGGTCTAGTGGCTAAGGTACTCGGTTACTGACCCGCAGGTTGCAGGATCGAATTCTAGCTTTGGCGGCTGCATTTTCGATGGGGGCGAAAATGCTGTAGGCCTGTGTGCTCAGACTGAGGTGCACGTTAAAGAAACCCAGGCGGTGGAGATTTCCGGAGTCCTCCACTACGGCGACTTTCATAATCACATGGTGGTTCTGGAACGTCGAACCCCACATAATAATTAATATCAAATTAGGAATGTATCAAGTTGTCTAAACGGCCGTCAGCCCACAATTAACGTGGCATGCTAATCATGTTGCACATGACGCGCACGCCATGATTTTTACATTACCACCTGTCATTTTTTGTCAGCCATGCACAAATGCCACATCATAGCAAATCAAGAAAGGGCCGCAGAAGCGCCACGGCCATGGCATGTTATGGCGATTTAGTCATTATTTTCATGATATGATCAGGCAATCACGTTCGTCACACAGTTGCTTTATGCCGTACCGTTTTCGCTATAACTCTCATTATTGATATGGTCTGGAAGGAAGAACGGAAAAAAGAACAAGAGAGAAGGTAGGGGGTTAACCAGGCACATGCCCATTTAACTACCTTACGCTGAGAGAATGTGAAGAAAGGGTATAATGATGAGAGAGAGAAAAAAAGTAAGAAAAAGATGAGAAAATTATCAGTACATAGGCTGACACGTATGCGTCTTG